AAAATTCTCTAATTTTTTAAATGAAATCGTTCTTAATTAGTTGTACTTTTGATTGTTGTGATGTAGTATAAATTTTATGGTTTAGGATTGTTTTTATCAATTAATGAAAACCTTGTAGAATTAGAAATCATCTATATGTTAAAACCAAGACATATCGTCTATAAATGCATGTCTAGGCTTATTTTTTAGCTTGTCAAAGTGCGAAGTGCTACAATGATGGATCATATTTAAGATCTGGGTTTGAAAGTTCTCAAAATGTATTGATTCTATAACTATAGTGTGTGTGTGTCATTTAGTATATAAAGAAAATTGTGTAGCATCTAAATTAATCTGTAATTATAAAGGAGGAAAGAAATCTGAGAAAATAAATTATTAGTATATAAAGGAAGGACAAATCACCTTCCTAGCTGGATGATCTGATCAACAATCAAATCTTACAAGATAATTTTCTTCTTATTATTATAATTTTATCCTAATCATCTGAAGATCCTAATAGAGTCGATGAAGTGAAGATTCCAGAGACGAATAGACTTGATGCCAACCATTCTGTGCAGGATGTACCATGTCCCAGAAGACAGACAACTCTGGCTTCTCGCATACCACATACGTCTTTGCCCCATTCTTGTCAACGTTTCCACATGAGTAGTTGCTTGTCACGCCCACACAACATGGCATCAGAAAACTCCTCAACTTCAAGTTTCCTGCAAGGCGTGCGGTATTCAATTTGGACATGAATGCAGTATACAGATCCAGTGTTTCGTACATGTGTTTTCCGCTCTCATTGTTCATCCTTTGTATTGCTTGCTGCAATTTCTGGTTATGAAACTTGGAGGCAGTATTCCAACTTTCACTGCAATTCTGATATGAAGAGAAGGCTGTCAATATCGGCAGGCATCCAAGAGGCTGCAATGCTGTTACTGCTATTTTCCGCACTCCGAAACCATGTATTCTTTTCAGGTTGGCAGAAAGCTGGTTGATTAGTGATGTTGTGAAGGCTGGCAAATCCTACAATATGATAACAAGTTACTGTATTGTTATATAGTTCTCTCAGAGTTATCTCCTGATTTTATTTTAACTGATTAAACAGCTGGTTAATGGATCATAAGTTGATGCTAAGAATAAATTAAAGATTGCGATTATGTTGTATTGCAGCAGATTACCAACCCTACCACCGCAAGCTCAAAACAAAAGGTAGTTTACCAAACTCACCTGAAAGTTGCCATTTCTTTGAATGTAAGTAGTGTAGTCGTTTCCTGCTAGGGACACCAGGACAATGGAAGAATTAAGGTCTTGTTTGGTGTAAACTTTTTCTTCAAGCAGTTGTTGAAAGAAATCAATTTGGGTAGCCATATTTGGCGCATTGATGAATGTATCAAAGACTCCAGTTCCTCCAAATGCAAAGTTCATCCCAAATTGTAGACCAGATTTTTCTACAGTTTTTCTCCATGTGTAAGGGACTGGAGATGTTATACCAAGAAATGAAGCTGCAAACCATGAATTCCAAATATAAATTTACACTCATGTCACTCATCTAGGATTGAGAATTCAATATAAAAAAAATGCCTACCTATGTAATCTGTCAAGACACGACCATCAGAGAATCTACCAGCTGGTTTACCAGGAAAAGTGAATCCATAAGGCTCTTTCCAAGAAGCTGCAAATTTCTCCCAGTTCCCGGTATCTGCATAGGAATCCCCAAATACAAAAAGCTTCACTGATCCTTTGTCATGGTGTCCATTCGCAAGACCTTCTGAAACAACTAAAGCCAATGGATTATAAGCTTATAATTAACAAAGCATAATTTTAAACAAAGAAGAAGAAAAAATAATCCCATCTATAAATTGCAAAAAGCAAAAATGTATTAATATAACCTGAAAACATTATGTAAGAGACACAGAATAGGGCAAATAAGAAGAGGATGAAGTGAACTTGTTTCTCCATTGAAGAGCAAGCACTTGTTGAAGTATATATGAATTATGGGAGTGTATATATAATATATATGAAGGGAAATGGAGGAGATCAAAGTCACATTAATTTAAGGCATTTCTCTCTGCATAATTGACATGTGGAGTGTTCTATCTGGTTTCTGGCAAGTATAAACCAAGCTAAGCAAATGTTTGGTTGAACTAATTCATCAGTAATCTAAGAACCAAGTAAGGAAATTATGGACACTTTCTGTGAAAGGTTAGGATACCAGAGTCAAGACTATAGCTTTCTTTTCCTTTTGATCTTTCTTTGTTAATGGTGTGTGTTAGCGTATATCCATGAACATTTCCATTCAAAAATTAATTTATATAATTTTTTTAATATTTTTTTAAATAAAAATTATTTAAATTTAAAACTTGTATAATTTCACATTAGTCCACACTTAATTATTAAATAAAATAATAATTATAAAAATCAAATTCATAATCATTTAATCATCAAAATTTTAATATTATATTAAAAAACTATATCATCTTCTAAGAATTCTTATGATTTAAAATTCATATAATATGTATTGTTTTATATTTAATTATTAAATATAATAAAAATAATAAAATTTAAATTCATAATTATCTAATCAATCATATCCAAAAATCTAACTTATCCTGAAAACTTAGATTGAAATGATGATTTGGAGCACACCTCTGTCTATTCATAAATGGTAATGGAAGAGAAGTAAATGGATTTTTACCTTCACACTTGGCCAAGAATCTGACACATCTTCTTTAACTATTCTTATGTAGAACATTAAATGAGAATTTATGGCATCATAAATTAAGGTCTACGTGGCTTTGCTACTCTTGATGCTATAGAGTTCTTGTTATAGTTCTCTTGAGAGGCTAGAAATTGTTTGGTTTGAGCAAGTTGGATGAATACCAAAGAATTGTTCATCTTCTAAGGAAGTGAGGGGAGAACTTTTCCATCCTTGAGGGGGCAATATTTAGTAATTAGGGGCATATGAGAATAGTTTTTACATTTTAAGGACCAATTTGTAAGTATATTTTAAAAAGACTTAAGCCACCCATTCACACCCAAGTCTCCAGCCCACCCCTGGATTCTTCTAGTTACTTCCATGCGTTTGTTTCTTTGGAGCTAAGTCATCTAAAAGTATCGATTTTGAAGTATTGACAACGAGAGAGAAAAAAAGGTGTGAGGTGTTTTTTTGTTTTTAATTTTATTTACCAAAAAAAAGAGGGAGAAGCTAATTCACACAAATATATAAGAGTGAGACTAGTTATTAATTTATCATACCTAAATAACCGGTTAAATTTTTTTTATACATAAAAAAAAATTTAAATATTATTAATTTTTTAATAAAAAAATTTAAATTATATAAAAATTAATATGATGTAACTCAATTGGATATGTGGATTAAAAAACAATCAATATAACTCGTAAAAATATAATTTAACTAAAAACATTTAAGATGAAATATTTTTTTATATTAAAATAACAACATATTGGATTTATTTAGATCAACTTGAGTTAACATGTTAAATTCGTGATATGAGTTGTGAAACTATGATAATCTCATGAAACACAAATTAAAATAAATTATGAAGTCTAATTATCAATCAAATCAATGTTGAAGGATAAAATTAAAAAAAAATCAATTAAAAATGACTTAAAAAAGCAACTCAAGTTAATTAGTCAAGTCTGCTACCTAAGTCATAAGACTAAAATAATTTCTTAGAAAGTAAGTTAATTAAAAAAATAAATCAATTAAAAAAAGCATAAAAAACAACCCGAGTCGATCATCTAAACCTATGACCCGGGTCATTGGACCAAGATAACTTCATTGAAAGAAAATTAAAAAATGACATGATATAACTTGATTTAACCTGGATTAACATACCAACTTCGCAACTTTGATAACGAGATTGAGATAATCAAAACAAATTATAAAACTCAATTCTCAATTATTTATGTTGGATTCACTGTTAATCATGAAATTTGTAAAAATTTTAATTAAAAAATAACATAAAAATGAGTCAAATGAACCTAAATTAACCAATTAAATACTATTTTTTATCATGAGGTTGAGATAATTAAATAAAAAAATTAAAATAAATCATGAAATCTAATTTCTAATTAAACATAAAATTAAATAATGAAATTGGAGGGAAAAGGTTAATTAAAAGAAAAGTTGGGTTAATTGGTTAATCTATCAAACTCATGATCTAAGTTATAAAATGAGGACAACTTAATAAGAAAAAAAAAAAAAACTCAATGTCGAAAAATATGACTCAGGTCATAAAACTAGGATAATTTCTTAAAAAAAATAAAAAAAATCTGATTTAACCATTATTAAAATACCAAAATCAACAACCTTGAATATAAAACCAATATATCTCCATTAAAAAAAAATAGATTATTAAACTTAATTTTTAATCGATTCAATGTTAAATAATAAAATTAAATAAAAAAATCAATTAAACATAAGACACAAAAATGACATGAGTTTACTCAATTAACATTTTAAGTATTATTTCTGAGTAATCAGACCGAAATAACATAATAGAAAATAAACAAAATAAATCATGAAATTTAATTCAATCAAATATTAAAAGATAAAATTAAAAAAAAAATTAATTAAAAAAATCTAAATTAATAGGGTTAACCCATTAAATCAAGTTAATCTACTAAACTTATATTACGTATCATAAGAATGTGATAACTCAATGAAAAATAAATCTAATTAAAAAAATTGATTAAAATAAAAAAACACTTATATAATTTCTTCTAATTGATATTATTTCACAAGAAATAAATGAAAATATAATTTAAGAAAAATTAATGCATTTATATATCATTTAATTATTTTGTAAAAGAAAAAATAAGCAATAAAAAAAATCTCTACTTTCTTGAAATAAATAATATCAAATTACTATATCTTATTTCTTTTTCTTTTTTTCCTTTGGTGGCTTTATAGTATTTTGCTTTCTGTATTTGAAAGCGACAGGACGATTTCATTTTAATTGGTCGGCTTTGCTTATCTATCTCTTGAAGTCTAACATCAAACCACGAATCACATTATAATAAACACAGATAATAAACAGAGAGAGACAGATGACAAAAAAACAAATGTTTACTTAACTATTAACAATAATCATCTCTTGATCAAAGCCTCAAGTTTCAGGTCTGTTAATGGGTTTTCTATTTCTTTTCTGTTCATTCTCTCTGGTTGATATTTAATTGCAAAGTTTGAGTCTTTTTAATGTAAACTGTATTGGGTTGGTGGAAACTTTTAAAAAGAATTGTATATCTCAAAACTACTGTGAAGGCTGAAACTTTGAGTGTTGGGGTTTTGAGATTTGATTGAATTATAGTGTTTTTTTTTCAGGTTTTTTGCGTCCAAGTATTGGGATTTCAGCTTCAGATCGAATTAGAGGGATGTTTGATGTTTTGCTTGTTTGTAAAGATGTTGTCCTTACCTTTCATTGGATCAAGTACTAGTTTTGATGTTGTGCTGGATATAGGAGATATTGAGGCTTAAGTTTAAGTATCATTGATTTGTGTAAGAGTGATTTTTTGGTGGAGAGTGGTGTAAGGATTATATATTATATGGTGTTTTTAGTTTTGAGAACAAAATGTACAGCAATTTTATGGAGCATGGTATAGAGTACGCAAAACGGGCAGTTAAGGAGGACGATACTGGAAACTATAGTAAAGCTTTTCAGCTTTATATGAATGCGTTGGAGTACTTTCAAGCACAATTGAAGTATGAGAAGAATCAACAGATTGAGAAAACAATTAGGGAAAGATGTTTGGGATATCTAAAGAGGGCGGAGGAGATTCGAGCTGTTCTTGATAATGGTGGGAGTGTGCCTGCCTCAAATGGTGATGCATCGGTTGCTGCCCAGCCAAAGACTAGTCCAAAACCAAAGGATGGAGGTGGGAAGGACAAGGGGGATCCTGAGAAAGCGAAGCTTAAGGCAGGGCTTGATTCTGTTATCATCAGGGAGAAGCCAAATGTGAAATGGAGTGATGTGGCAGGTCTTGAGAATGCCAAACTGGCGTTGCAAGAGGCTGTCATATTGCCTGTTAAGTTCCCACAGTTTTTCACTGGTTAGTTTCTTGGTTGTAATACTCACAGAAGTGTTCTGCTTCCAATGTTATGACATTTTCTTGGGTAAAGATTCTATGTTTGACAATATTTGATGTCTGAATGTTATTCGTCTGTCACACATTCAGGGAAGAGAAAACCATGGAGGGCTTTTTTGTTATATGGTCCACCTGGAACAGGAAAGTCATACTTGGCAAAGGCTGTTGCAACAGAAGCTGACTCAACTTTCTTCAGGTGATGTAGAAACCATGATATCGTAACTGCCCAGACTACTAGCTGATGAGAGTTTCTTAGAAGACTATACACACATTGCATCAAGAGAGTGTTGGAACTTTGAATGCGTAAACAATATTCAAGTTTATCCTTATTCTCTGTTTTGATGGTCAATATATATAGATAGGTAGTCTTTGCAATTGCAAGCAATGGTCAATAATCGTTATCCAAGACATTTGTAAAATGCTTGTGCATCAGGCAGGACCTTGAGCAAATGCAAATTCTTACTCTTTTGTTAGATTTCACTTTTATAAATCATAAATAAATCCCAATAAGCTGGGCAGAATCTATGCCTTTCATGCTCTCTTTTTCTGATCAAAGTTGGTGACAACTCCCACATGCTGTCTTTATGCAGTGTCTCTTCCTCGGACCTGGTTTCCAAATGGATGGGTGAAAGTGAGAAGCTAGTTTCAAATCTTTTCCAAATGGCTCGTGATAGTGCACCTTCCATCATTTTCGTTGACGAAATAGATTCACTGTGTGGCCAAAGGGGTGAAGGTAATGAGAGTGAAGCATCTCGGCGCATCAAAACAGAACTTCTTGTACAGATGCAGGTACTTTGTGTTCACTGTATCTGGATAAAGAACATTGTCCTAATCTGCATTTCCACATAAACTGATAAGAGCACTGCCATAATCTTAAACTGAGGTTCTTGTCCCATTTCAGGGTGTAGGGAGTGATGATCACAAAGTTCTTGTTCTTGCAGCCACAAATACTCCCTATGCACTGGATCAGGTTAGAAAAACATCAGATTTTAAACATCCTTCATTATGGACAGAAATCTATCTATTTTCATCAGAATTACATAGTTGGTAATGCTAATGCAAAATAAACCACAGGCTATCCGACGGCGTTTTGACAAGAGAATATACATTCCACTTCATTAAAAAAAGGAGAGAAGGATGAATTATCCAAATTAATGAAAAAGAGGAAAATAAGAATATATGGTAAATTTTCTAATGCTAATGCAAAATAAACCACAGGCTATCCGACGGCGTTTTGACAAGAGAATATACATTCCTCTCCCAGATTTGAAGGCAAGGCAACACATGTTTAAGGTATTGCCCATCAGAACTATTGTAGCCTGTTTTTGACTTGTTGAAACATGTTCGTGTGATTCATGAAATTAACTTCCTCCTGTATGTCGACAAGCAGGTGCATCTTGGTGATACTCCTCACAATTTAACTGAAAGTGATTTTGAGAAGTTGGCTCAAAAAACAGAAGGATTTTCCGGTTCAGATATTTCAGTTTGTGTAAGTGTCAAGTTTACATCAGCCTCTGCCATATTTCAACTCCTATTCGTATATCCAATTTGAGCAAAATGTTTGAAAAGTTTTTTTTTTTTAACATTTTCTTTTGTGAAAATTTAAAATAGTCAGGAGTTGCCTCCTTTTAAACTTGGTCCTGACATTCTCATTGATAGGTCAAAGATGTACTCTTTGAACCTGTTCGTAAAATCCAGGATGCTGAATATTTCATGAAGTGCTCTGATGGCATGTGGGTTCCTTGTGAACCAACACAACGAGGAGCTGTCAAGACCACATTACAAGAACTTGATGCACAAGACCTTGCTTCAAAGGTATGGATTGAATAAAGCACTATTACAGAGAGTTCAACATGAAAACCATTCCCAGAAAATAGCACAGCTATCGCTTCTGTGGTTGTACCTAAGAGACACTGTTAGAAATCTGTAAGAGGAGAAATATTGTTCATTTTTGTTCTTGTTTCCGTAACGTTCAACAAGAGGAACTGAGAGACATGTCATCATGATTCATGATTATACTTCCCCCTCTAGAATGACCGGTTTTACGGGAAATTCATTTTAGTTTGTGACTTCTAGCTGCATGCTTCCTCTTCGGTGACAAACAATGACAACTTATATTTGAAATCGATGACTTTGCAGGTCCTTCTGCCACCCATTACAAGAGCAGATTTTGATAAAGTGCTTGCACGGCAGAAGCCAACAGTTAGTAAAGCTGATCTCGAGGTGCATGAGAGATTCACGAAGGAGTTTGGAGAGGAGGGCTGATGACCTTAATTAAGTGGAAGCAAGTCTTTGATTAATCGATAAACACATGTTATACATAGTGCAAATTACCCATCTCTGGTGGCTCATGTTGGGAAAACCATGTCCCTTGTAGGCTTATGAAGTCTGGTGTTTCCTTTCTGCTCTCCCCAATTAGTTGGGCAATATTTTGAAAAAGAAAAAATGGGGCTACGAGGCGAACCAGACAGAATGACAGATCAATGTATGCAATGGTAGATGGTAAATGTATATACAATATTGGCATTATTTGCTATCCTCATCCCTTGATTTCATGCATGTGTGTAAGTGCCTGTTTGGGAACATGCGCGATTTGGAAATACAAGTTGCTTTGCAGTTATGCCCTTGTTCCCAACAGGCCATAAGGCTATGGAAAAGTATGATTATGACCACTTAATTCATTTCTTAGGACTGTCTACAATGGCACAGCTAAGTACTCCGGCTTGCACAAAAATAAAAATAAAAATGGAAACACATGCAGTAAAAATCATTGCAGTGACGACATGTTTATTATTTAATTACAAGTTTACAACGACAAGAATGACGAAATGACTTAATGGTTTTGTGAAATGCGAATTCAATGAAAATGATACAGGTGACTGGCGAGCACAATAATTCACCACACATGGGTTGAGGCCCCCCCCTCTATCTCATGCTGCTTGTCTTGGTCGACCCCTGCTGTATCTTGGTGGGTTGCTTTTGGCAACATCAACAACAATCATCCAGCCATTGATGATCTGCAAGTTGGGTTGCCAGAATGTAGGTCAGCCTTACCGCTTGGACAGTTACAACTTAAATAAAGTGAAACAAGGACTCGTTTTACACCTACCTTGCCATTCATCTCCTTGAGTGCTGAACTTGCAGCCTCCTCTGTGGTGTACTCTACAAATGCATAACCTTTGGACCTCTTTGAAATCTTGTCCATTATTATTTTAACTGTCAGGAATACACCGCCATTATTTTAAAGACAATTGCAACAAATACATGTCAACAAACAAAAAAGGCAAAGCATACCTTCAACAAGCTCACCAAAGCCCTCAAATGCTGCACGCAAGGTTTTCTCAGACGTATAAAATGACAGACCTGCTCAAAATACAGATCGCCAAGCAATTAAATAAATGACAAAGCTAGCTAAATCAGGCATATGTGTATTATCCAAAAACTTGCGCTATCTGGCAGGTAGTATTTTACAAACAAAAAGCAAGAGCTGAAGAGCATATCATCAGAACTTGATTTAAAGATGCAACATACCAGTTATAAAAAGTTTTTTTGTTCTAACAGGAGTTATTTGACTAGCTTCTGAAGAATCTGATGGATTTGCAGAATTGATGAGGCTATCACCTGGAAACTACATGTTGTTAACATTACAGAAGAACCATTTGCCACGGAATAAAATTCTCAATCACATTAAACTTTGAAAATTGACAATTGGCTGTTCTGAAACCTCAAATAACAGTATCATAACTTAATATCAAGCAGCAAATCCTGATGCTAATTTCATAAAACTTGATCGATGATTGCATATACACCGCCAGCAATCCTAGTACTAACAAGAAAGGGACACACCTCCAAAATCCTTGTTTTCCGACTCAAAATCCTTATCTGGCAGAACAGATAAAACACCAGGAACACCTAAAAACAAGGTGTGTGTCATTAAACAGAATAATAAAAGCAAACAAAATTTCACTTGAAAGGGAATTAACTAACCAGCTAGCTTCTGTGCACATTCCTCGTCAAGTTCACAACAGAACCCAAAATTCGATTGCCATGAAACGTGATATATACACATTTGAGCATCCTTCTCACTGCAAAAGAAATCAACCTGTCACTTCCATAGCATGTAATAAATAGCAAGCAGATTGCATTCTTTCTCAAAAATTAACACTTACTATCCCATGACCTTGGTTAGTATTTGAGCATAATAATCAACCATTTGAGCCTTTGTAACAACTCCAATTCCTGGCTTATCAATTCTAACCAGCCAATGTTTCGTATTCCCAGAAGGGAACAACAACTTGCTTCCAATTTGTGGATTTGATAGTGTACTCAACTTGACACCTGAACTATAATCTTTTTCCACAGAATTATAATCTGGGTCAGGCCTAACTGATAAAACCCCAGGCAACCCTACATCACACACATCCACAACAATTCAGAAACCTCTCAAAATCTACCATATGAGTATCATAATTCTCTACATATTTTGAGCCAAAAGAGAAGAACCTTACTGGAAAGTTTAAGGGAAGCATCTTCATCAATATCACAACAAAACCCAAAATAAGTATCGCAAGAAGCATCGTATATACACATTTGAGCATCTATTTCACTGCTCAAAACCAATAAAGCAACAGGTTTTAGGCCAAAAAACAACAAATACTAAAACTGCTCATCTATAAAAACACAAAGGAACCAACCCACCAACCTGCCTAATGCTCTCTCCAGAGTCTTGACATAATAATCAATTATTTCTGGTTTTGAATTGACTCCCTTTGGAGGAGTTTCCATTATAACTATCCAGTGGTTGTTAGTTTTAGTTGAAGTTAAATGTGTAGATGTTGATGTTGTTGCTGCTTTTGTTGATAGAGAAACACAAGAAATGAGAGAAGAAGAAGATAAAGATTGGGTTTTTATGTGGTTCTTGTTCTTTTTAGGGTTGTAAAGTTTGAAAATTGAAGCTTTAATTGGGAGTTTTTTGGAAATGGAAGCGAGAGTGGTGGTGCATAATGAAGGTGAGAGTGTTTCCATGGCAGCCTCTAAGGTTTCATTACAGAACAGACCAAGCTCCTCTGACCATTGCTGTTCGCTGTTTGCTGTTCAATGTCGTTGTAGCAGAATCTCTTATCTGTATTTTTTTTTTTTTTTCTAGGCGCTTTAGATGAATGATGGTCGTTCATTTGTCCCTGGTCGTTTTTAGGAGAATGCCAAGCAACGAGTCGTTCAGCTTTCATGAGCGAGAGAAGTTGATTTGCAAGTCATTGATGTCCATCTCCGGATTGGGCTTGGTGCAATCCATGGCACTAATTTTAATTCAAAATTACTATTTACGATGGATTTTGGATACTAAAATCTAACTAGATTTGGTTTTGGATATTCTTCAGTTATCTAAACTCAAATTTGATATGAACTTAAATTCATATCCAGAAATTACAATTATATATAAAATTTAATATAAATGTATTTTTGTTTTAAGATCATTATTGACTTTCAAGTGAGTTTCAAGTAGGGTAGAATAATATCAATATCCAACTTAAAACCTAACTGTTTACCTTTATACTCATATCTAGAAATTACAGTTATATATAAAGTTTGATATAAATATAATTTCATCAAACTTCAAGATCATCATTAACTTTCAAGTCCAGTTTCAAGTAGAATAACATATATATTATTTTTTACCTTTAAATTTCATATGATAGTAGTTCTTCTATCACGGTTATCATTTGAGTGGTTCGAATCTAAAGAAAGTTTAGGAATGAGATTTTCATCCTGAGATCTTGTTCGAGGATGACCAAAACTTCATGTCAATGAACAGTTAGTATTTGTTTTAGGTTATCAGTAAATTTCCCGAAGTGCAGAGGAAGGAACATTGGAAATGTTCTTACAGAGATAAACAGAGCAAATTTTCCCCATGGAAGTTGCTTTTGGCAAAAAGTAACTGCATTAAACATAATGTAAGGGATATCTGGATATTTACATCATCTAGCCGTGAAGAATAAATGAAGTATCTTGTTCGGTACTCAGTTAACTTTCACCTAAAAGTGGTGCTTCAATTTCTTCCTCCGGGTCATGGCCCGACTTTTCGGCTGGCTTAAGCAGGCAAGCAAAGCATAAAGCAATCATCTGAGACAACAGAATAGTTCATGGTTAATATGGGAGAAAAGGATAAGAAGGGCGCGAAAGGTGAAGTTGTGCAAGGCCTTACCATGCTTACAGAAGCAACTATGATGCTGAAACCTTTACAGTTGAAAGGTGCATCACTAGAAAGGAACCATGCTGAAACAACAATTCATAAATGAGCAAGCAAAATTGAATGCTTGTTGTGGTAACCAGAGAAAGGATGTAAACTGCGTCAACTCACAAGTCAATGGACTCATTGCAAGTGGGGATAATAAACTTGCTATTGATTGGACACCGGCAATAAATCCCTGTACTTTTCCCTGAAATAAACCAGTACTTGAACTTGTGAACAACGGAGACACGGATCATTCACAAATATGCAGACATTTGAAAGCAGGTGTACATTTTATGAATGCATAGTTGGGCTCAGAATGCTGACTCTAGCTTGAGCAATACGAAAAGATGCTTCTTCCACCAGCAGAAGATGGGAAGTTTGTTCATAGGAAAGAAATAAGGTGGAAAAAACTAAACATTCACGTTAGACTGCTGGTTTTGCAAACCTGATTCACTGAGCTTGATCCTTTAGAAATAACAGCATAAGTCTGCACGTCCAGAAATTCAGAACATAAAACAATGATTATTCAATGATGAATGTGGAAACCTTCTACCTGAGGTTCTGAAGAAAAGTGAGTGTGATCATAATGCTTACAACAGGCTTCACGAGGACATAAATGGCTCCAAATGCGGCACTCAAGTATGGCACCTGCATTAGGCAATGAGAAATGTTTAAAGAACTTTGCATGCTTGTTTAAATAATGCAATTTGGTGGAGGATTGGTTCAGGATTGAACTTCTTTTTTTCCATGTCATGTGAAGTTTAACTCTTAGGAATTAGGTATATACCCAAGAAGCCCACACCAAGCCATAAAGCAAACCCTGTACAGAGAAAAAGCGCCCGTTATAATTTTCCTTCTCTTTTCAGCATGTGAATTGGTTGCTAGGATGAGTTGGGAGTGGCAACTTACATAAGCTATTGATGCAAGTAAGGCTAGACATAATATCACTCCCTCTCCAACCAATGGACTGAGAAGAGGAAGCACCAAAATCTAGAAGCCAGCCACAAAACAAACAAGTGTTTACGCAAAAGAATTTTTCAAGTTCATTGACATTCCATAGAGAGCCTATGATGAGCTGAGAGCGAAGAATAGATGAAACCATATATAAACGTTTGATTTACATGTTGCCACTTTCCAAAGAAAGAAGCCCGCAATTTTCATTGTTTAAGCACAGTTGTAAATGTAGCCACAGCAAGATTACCTCCACGTCGTACCTGAGAAAAGATTGCACCAATTCCTACCACTGACAGAATTTCCGAATATTGATTCTTGTTAAAACCAAACACTGCCTTCAGATAGAACTGCATAGGAAGGTGACAAGCAATCAGGGGATCTAAATAAACAGAGAACGGAGTAGATAGGCACCACAAAAGAAAATTACAATTAGC